CGCTCCGGAATTGTCAATCGCACGAATCAAAGGTTTTCAGTAGGTTCAACTTATTAATCTGTAACAGATCGACTGAAAAGTGAAATAAAACCAGATGACAATTTGAAAAAAAAGTTAAAAACACGAAAAGCAGCGACAAACTCCTCCCGTATTGGTGTAGCTGGGGTTGTGGGCACGCGAAACAATCTCACCTTGAAATAGATACGAAACAATTGATTGGTCATATTGAGAATAGCTATCTTCTTTGTTGTAGATGGATCTGCTCTTCTAAAAAATTTTCAAATGAGATAGATGACAATCTATAGGACATCAGAATGTATCCTTGGCATTATTACCCTTTATTGCCCCATTTTTCAAAACTAGACTTGACCCCTAGACCTTTGCTCCTACCCCTCCCCACTCATCCCATGTGAACAAACATGATTAATCTATTCAAAACTAGAGTCCTTGTTACAACCGGGATTTCTTCGGCATTAGCATCAGGGCAAGGCACTCCTGGGCAAATGATTCAGGGGTCAAATTACCCTGACCCATTGAAGACAAGCCTTCAGTAAATTTGAGGTGTTTTGAGATGTTTACCTTCGGCACCTATGGCATGAGCTTCAGGAAAGCGCAGTAAATGTGACATTCGCGTTCGGAAAGGACAAGCTACCCACGAGACAAATTCTGGGCGCTGTTCGGCTTAGAGGGGGGAAGGGCTCACGTTTAAGAGACCTGCAGACTTCCGTCAAACGTAAAAGAAGCTTGCGCAATTGCGTAGCTTTACTGAAACTCAAAGGTGTCCACAGGAGGTATCGGCAGTGATCATGGAAAACAGCAAAATCCCCTCATCAAGCCGAACCGTGCCCACACTCCGCTCCCATTTCAAAGGGTGAAGAGGAAAAGGGTGAAGGGTAGACAAAGCCTGAGTACTAGCACCCGTCCAACGCAAAACACGACACTGTCCAGCTAGAGTAACTTACACATCTGAAGTACAAGTCCCTGTATGCTTCACATGACTAGTAATTGGCCCTGATAGTTCGAAGACTGAAGGAGATATTCTTCGACCTCCCATCGTCCTTCTCTCGGTAAGCCTCTCACTCCGCCCTCGCCCCACTCCCACGCTCCCCACCCGTAATATAAGGCGATACTCAACACAACTCGGCTGCAGTAATCATAAGGGATATCAAACACTGGGAAAACGGAACGTACCATTTTAGCTATATTCAAAAGATCGCGGCACAACTGATGAAAAATCGGAATAAACCAGTTCACTTCCTTTTTCTTCTGCAGCACTTCCTTATTAAATGTTTGCATTATCTGAAAATATAAAATGCTTGTACGCTTAAAAAACTTGGAACCCTGCAAAAATCCAAAGAAATGAGGAAAAGATTAGCGCATCAGCTCCTGCATAGTCTTCTATAATAAGACAATCTTCTCATTCAGAACAGAATACTTACACACATACGGGGCGCTGTTCAGCTTGGAGGGGGCATTTTGCACTCTCGCAAGACTCTTACACTACTTTCTGTTACCTTGCTCCCGTGTAAAATGAAGCTCATGCTATTGCTTCGCTTTACAGGAGCTTACAGGTATCTAGTGTAGGTACCGGCAATGATCGATGAGAACCAGTAAAATGCCCTCTCCAAGCCGATCCGTATCCGTAATCGTGAGCGTAGTTAAACTGACTCTCATATCAGAATTACCTGCGTATGAGTAGTGTAGGCAGCCTCGTAGTTGTGGGACACATTTATGTGGTAAATTACTTGTAAATGCAGACACACAACTTGATCGAAGGCTTCGTCATCGATGTAAGAGCGGCTTTTTCGGGAGCCGTAGGCCTCGATCTGGAAAAACAACTTGTAAAGTGAACTCGGCGACTGAAGTGGTGCAACTGCATGTCGCCCGCTAATAACAGCGCCTTAGAAGTGGCCTGCATGCCACGTGTCCAATCCGTGTGTCAAATCCCGGATCGGCTCCCGCCCAGGTCAATCAAACCTTCTTCCCTACGGGTTCAGTAGGTACGGGAGATTGTCTAAATTGGACAAATGAAGAGCACTGAGGCTCAATCAAGTTCTTTTTGCAGTGCGTCCTACACTCTACTTCTATCCGGAATCTTGCGTTTTGAGCACGAGTTAGGCCATACAGTGGTTCGCGGGATCAAACAAGCCGGTACAAACAAGTCGCACTAATTCAGAAGTACACGA